GTACCGGCGGACGAAGCGGCATGCAGCTCGGATGGTCACTGAGGCAAAAACCTGGGCATGGGTGGAGTTTGGAGAGGCCATGGAGAAAGACTTCCGCACGGCTTCGAAGCATTTCTGGTCCACCATCCGGAATCTCAGGAGGGAGAAGCAGTGCAGCACCAGCACTGTTGATAGTGGGGATGGTGTGCTGCTGACCTCAACTCGTGACGTTGTGGGCCGGTGGGCGGAATACTTCGAAGACCTCCTCAATCCCACCAACCTGCCTTCTGTTGAGGAAGCTGAGCCTGGGGACTTTGGGTTGGGCTCTCCAATCTCTGGGGACGAGGTCACTGAGGTGGTCAGAAAGCTCCTTGGTGGCAGGGCCCCGGGGGTGGATGAGATCCGCCCGGAGTTCCTCAAGGCTCTGGATGTTGTAGGGTTGTGTTGACTCACGCGACTCTGCAATATCTCAGGGACATCAGGGGCAGTTCCCCTGGATTGGCGGACTGGGGTGGTGGTCCCCCTGTTTAAAAAGGGGGACCAGAGGGTGTGCTCCAATTATACGGGGGTCACACTCTTAAGCCTCCCTGGTAAGGTCTATTCAGGTGTCCTGGATAGGAGGGTTCGTCGGATAGTCGAACCTCGGATTCAGGAAGAGCAGTGTGGTTTTCATCCTGGTCGTGGAAAACTGGACCAGCTCTACACCCTCAGCAGGGTCCTGGAGGGCACATGGGAGTTCGCCCAATCAGTCTACATGTGTTTTGTGGACTTGGAGAATGCGTTCGACCGTGTCCCAAGGGGGGCCTTGTGGGGGGTTCTCYGGGAGTATGGGGTACCGGGCCATTTGATACGGGCTGTCAGGTCCTTGTATGACCGGTGTCAGAGTCTGGTCCGCATTGCCGGCAGTAAGTTGGGCTTGTTTCCGGTGAGAGTTAGACTCCGCCAAGGCTGCCCTTTGTCACMGATTCTGTTCATTACTTTCATGGACAGAATTTCTAGGCGCAGCCGAGGTGTTGAGGGGATATAGTTTGGTGGCCTTAGGATCGCATCTCTGCTTTTTGCGGATGATGTGGTCCTGTTGGCTTCATCGGAACATGATCTGCAGCTCTCGCTGGAGCGGTTCGCRGCCGAGTGCGAAGCGGCCGGGATGAGGCTCAGTGCCTCCAAATCCGAGGCCATGGTCTTGAGCCGGAAAAGGGTAGAGTGCCTTCTCCAGGTCAATGGAGTCGTCCTGCCT